CACTTTGGACCCCCCTCCCACGAGAGACGCGTGATTCATTGCTTCCCCTCACCCCTGGCCAGATGGACCCAACATGGCCACATCATCATCCTTGTCTCACGTCATCTAACCTCACCTAGCTTAAACTCACCTCACCTCACCTAACCAAACCCAACCAAACCTAACCTAACCTAACCTAACCAAACCCAACCAAACCCAACCAAACCCAACCCAACCAAACCTAACCTAACCTAACCTCACCTAGCATACTTCATCATCGTCAATATCAAAACCCTGGCAAACTGTCCAGGTCGTCGAGTATAAAGTCCTTAGTGTACATAATAGGTAATTGGTTAAGTGAGAAGGTTAGTAGCATAGGGGGAGAAGGGAGAGGGGAGGGAGGTGAAAAGATAGAGGTACGGAAGGGGAGTAAGGGGAAAGGGGGAGGGAAAAGTAGGAGAAAAGTAGGAAATAAAATTAGGGTTAGATGAATGGAGAAGAACGAGGGAGAGAGGGAGGAGGATGAAGGAAAGGGGGGAAGGGAGGAGGAGGAAGAGAGAGGAAGAAGGAGGGAGATAGAAAAGGATGATAAAGGGAGTCAGGAAGAGGTAAACGAAGGTGGTACGGGTGGTGGCACTGGAGGACTGCCCAGGCACTGTCACAGCAGGAAAGGTTTAAGTGCCAAAGGGGACACACGGCTGGCACTGTCAATCTCCCCCTCCCCTCCAGGTATATGCTTCATCGCTCAGGTGTAGTTGAGATGAGGTGACACTCGATGACCTACCTGGCACTCTTGACCCTCGAGGTATACATGGCACTTATATGTTTGATGAACAGATGCCACTCCTTACCTGCCCCACAATTACTGATCCTTCGTTCGTGGCACTTGGGGTGGGGGGGAGGGAGAAGATTTGATTGGTCGATAATAGTGTCACTGTTCCTCTATTCCTGGCAGTGGTATGAAGCAGAGGAAGGGTGGATAATAGTGTCACTGCTCTCTTTACTACACACACACACACATACACACACACACACTGCCTCCAAAAACGGTATCGTGCCATTATTGTGACCCCCCCCATGAGCTGGCACCCTAATCCCTTGAGCACGTTAACTTAATTTTTGAGTACTATAACTTAACCCGTGGAGCATGATTCATTTAACGTTTCATATTTTAATTTAATCGAGACTAAAATACTTGACGAATGAGAATCAATTCCTATTAGACGATGTTTATTTTTTCATCTTTTTTTTTCGTATCTAACCAACACAAAAATACCAATTTGTGTTCCCTTCGTCGGGTCTTTTCTCATCTTCGTCAGGTAGTTGGCGAGACGGTGGTAATGATGTTAAGTGGTGTGAATGATGGTAGTGGTTATGGTCAAAATGGTTGTTAACACGAATGGCCCCTACGTCATTCACCACCACAGAGAATGGGATATCTCGTTGCCCTTTGAAGCTTCGAAGATATGATAGGAACCAAAACTGAAGCAATTAGACGGGGTATAAAACATCGAAGCTTCGGAGAGGTATATGAAACAGGAGTGACTCATTTTAGGTGGTATATAAATGTGGGAGGGTGAGGGAAATTCGATAGTGCTGACCAGGTGACGACAGAGAGTAGACCATCGCTGAGGTGCTCTCCTTATGGACGTCGATGTTGTGTGTGTGGTGTTTGGTGATCTGGGCCATGGTAATTAATAACGGTTTAGATAATTGTCTCACGTCACCTAACTTCACCTAGCTTAACCTCACCTCACCTAACGTAACCTAACCTTGCTACTCTGACCTCTTTTAGATACTGTAAATTACTTAGTTAATTCTTCTCTCTTATGGTGGTAACTAGAAGATGATGGATGAACAGGAAGAGGGAGAGTTAGGGGGAGGGGGGGATTAATTTGCTCTTACCTGTACACGGGAAGGAGAGGAGACCCAATGATTCGGCAGGAAGATTACAGGTGAAGGAAGGTTTACCTGAAGAATGTTGTTTGGTGTTACGACTGGATTTGAAGACAAGGGCAGTGAGTGGGCAGTGTAATAGTGATGATGGCGGTAGTGGTGTGAGTGATGGTGATAGTGGTGTGAGTGATGTTGTGATGGTGGTAGTGATGGTGATAGTGGTGAGTGATAGTGGTTGTTGATGAGGTTGTACTTGTGTTGTTGCTTCATTTGCTAAGGTTAATAATTGTCCGTGAAATGGAGGAGAGAGAGAGAGAGAGAGAGAGAGTAACGGAAGAAGGAAAGGAAAATAATAAAAATAATCATAAAAAAAGACGTTAGGAATGAAGAAGAAACAGAAAATGTGAAGTAAAGTAGAGGTTTACAGGAAAGAGTGAGAGGCTTCTTAGGAACTCTCGAGGTGTGTTGAGTGGAAGGGAGAGAAGGAGGGAGGGAGGGAGGGAGAGATAGAGGGAGGGTGTAGGTAAAGTGTGCCAGGTGCCAGACCCTAACACACACACAAACACTCTCTCTCTCTCTCTCTCTCTCTCTCTCTCTCTCTCTCTCTCTCTCTCTCTCTCTCTCGTTCGTTCATACCTCCTCCCTTCATGTAACCCCTCATCTACCTCCCTCCCCCGTACCTCCCCCCACCTGGCCAACACACGCCCACAGGTTGTCAGGTGGGCAGTATTCTTGGTACCTTCATTATGACTGGGCGGTTAAGCAGAGATGAGATTATCTGATTAAACTATAAATACAAGTGATTCATAATGCTCGGGACACACACACACACACACACACACACACACACACACACACACACACACACACACACACACACACACACATACACACACACACACACACACACACACATATATACAGGGGAGGGGGGAAGGAACGCTTACTCCCCGTCATCTGTCCGCTCGTCCGTCCTTCCGTCCGTCCTTCCGTCCGTCCGAGAGCCCCTTGGCAGTGTTCATAACTTCCCTTCGTTGTTATTAAGGGGTGCGGTGGCTGAGTGGGTACATCGCTCGCCTCCTGTCCTAAGAGTTACTGTTTTACTGTCCGGGTCATCCCCAAGTCCACCCAGCTGTGAATGAGTACCTGGGGGAAGTGAGGGTGGACAAGTGTACCATTCTGAGATGTACCATTTAGATGTACCACGCAACCTCCTCTACCACTATATCCTGTACCCTATAGATGTACCACTATCTCCTGTACCCTATAGGTGTACCACTCCACCTGGCGCCATAGGAAGAAGGGGAGCACCTCACGTGGTTTACCTTGTGCTTGCCTGTTTATGTACTGGGCCAGGTGGGGTCGCTGATGGAGGGTTCACCTGCCTCCTCTCTCCTCACTTCACCTCTTTCCCCTTCTTTTATCTTCGTACCTTTTGTTTTTATCTTCTCTTTTTTTCGTCTCCTCCCCTTCACCTCTCTCCCTCACCACTTTCCCTCTATTCTATTTCTTCCTCTCTATCTCTCCCCCTCTATTTCTTCCTCTCCCCCTCTATTTCCCCTCTCTCTCTCCCCCTCTACTTCCCCTTCTGTTGTGATCTTCCCCTCTTTCGTCTTCGCTTCTACTCCCTTTTCCTCTTCTCCTTCTTCCATCTTTCTTCCCTTATTTCCCTATTCTCTCTTTCCTCCATCACCACTCCTTCCTTCCCCTTCCCTCCCTCCCTCTCCTACACCCCTCGTCTCCCCCCTCCCCAACCCTCTTATAAACTATCTGTACCTGGAGTGATCGATGAATTCCAAAATGAACACTGTGACTCATGTTGTCTCGGTAGGGTTGTCAAAATCCTTCGTCCTTTGTGTCATATTTTTTCAACACAATTTTGTAAAGATAGTTAGGTTAGGTTTGGTTATGTTTGGTTTAGTTAGTGTTAGGTTAGGTTAGGTTTGATCAGTGTTAGGGTAAGTTAGATTAGGTTAAGTTAGGTTTGGTTAAGTTAGAGTTTCGCGTTAGGATAGTTAATCTTAGGCTGGGGTGTTTAATCTTCACGTGATCCCTAGTTCCATCACTGTACCTCTTAGCACCGTTAAGGTATCCTCCTGTTATATATATATTGAACAGATAGAACAAGTAAATATAGAATGAACAGATAGAACAAATGAACATGTAAACATTAGCCTCAAAACACCATACTCACGTGGCACACTCAACTTGGGTGATGGAGTGTGTTAGGTGCGTTCCTGGGAGTCTGTACAGGTGTGTGTGTGTGTGTTGGAAGTGTTTATATGTTAAGGTGTGTTGATCTAGTGTACTTTACTGGGGGAGGGTGTGGGGGTCGTGGTTGTGGTGGTGGGGGTTGTGGTGGTGGTGGTTGTGGTGGTGGTTGTGATGGTGGTGGTGGTGTACAGGTGATTAGTGTTTGTGTTAAGTTGTAATTATTTTATATTGTGATTCTTTGGGTTAATGATTATTATTAACACACACACACACACACACACACACACACACACACACACACACACACACACACACACACACACACACACACACACACACACACACACACACACACACACACACACACACACACACACACACACACACACACACACACACACACACAGATGGACCCTGTTATCTCCTGCTGTGTGGACCTCCACTTCATATATTACCTTATAGTAGTGGCTGGTTGGGTGTAGGCCAACACTGAGGTAAGACCACATACATACATACATACATACATACATACATACTCTCTCATGAACATACACAAACACTCGTGTCTTGGTGTGTATTAAAAGCGATTTCATACGTCTCTGGTTTATTTTGGAGGGGGTTTAATTTAGGGGTTTATGTCATTTGGGTTTATTGTTTTATTTAAGGTTTATTTATGGATATAATTTTGGGGGGTTAATTCCTTATGGTTTATTGATTGTTTTTATTTGGGGGGTTTAATTTTGTGGTTTAACTCATTGTGGTTTATTGAAGTCTGTTTTTTTCTTGGTTTAATTGACCTTCTGTAATTATCTTAAGTTGTGTTGAAATTACACCTTGGTTTTAATTATTTACCCCTCTCTCTCTCTCTCTCTCTCACATGGTCTGACCCCGTGTTTCTCTTGCACCTACAGGAGTGTGGTCGCCGGGGAGGTCTGGCGAGGAACGCACCGGGCCCTCCAAGATTGACCTCCCTGACCTCCCGTCCTTCAAGGATCAACCCACCGTGTGGAGTCCCGGCAGAGGTAAGTTGTCATTATCTTTCTCTTCTCCCTCCTCCTCCTTCATCTTGTCCTCCATTCATGTCTTCCTTCTCCTCCACCCGCTTCTCCTTCCGCTCCCCCATCTCATCCTTCCCCCACCCCCTTCCTTCTCATCCTCCACCCCCCTCATCCTCCTTCCCCTTCCCCACCTCATCCCACTTCCTTCCCTTTCTCCTCCTCTCCTACCTCTTCCCCTCCTCCTCCTCCTTGACTAGTACTCATTGCCTTAACTGGGCCCGGAAACCTTCACTTGGCATTAGGTAAACCTCGACACGTACCACAAGCCTTGACACAATTCGGTTTCCATTCGTACTCGTGTTGGCAGTGATCTCCTGTCTGTTACTCACTTGTCACTGCCCGTAACTCCACAGTGGGCAGGGAACTTACGCCTGTTACTCACTTGTCATTGCCCGGACTTACACAGTGGACAGGAAACTCACGCCTGTTACTCACTTCTCACTGCCCGGAACTCCACAGTGGGCAGGGAACTTACGCCTGTTACTCACTTGTCACTGCCCGTACTTCCACAGTGGGCGGGGAACTCACGCCTGCTACTCACTTCTCACTGCCCGGAACTCCACAGTGGGCAGGGAACTTACGCCTGTTACTCACTTGTCACTGCCCGTACCTCCACAGTGGGCGGGGAACTCACGCCTGTTACTCACTTGTCACTGCTGCTCGCGTCCGTAACTCATTCGGCACTTCATCTCTTTTATCTCAACCCCCAAATGACGTAAAAAAAATGGAGGAAATAACTCACTCTTACGTTGACTAATGTTTACACACACACACACACACACACACACACTCTCTCTCTCTCTCTCTCTCTCTCTCTCTCTCTCTCTCTCTCTCTCTTAAAGTGTGCTCAGTTTTTGGATGTTCAGAATGTATTGAAAAAAGAAAACGCATTACTTAATATTTTACCATTGATAGAAGGAAGAAAAATCGCATGAACGCTTCCTGATCAACCACTGAATTGATACAGAGAACGCGACCATAAGAACGCTGCTGCATAAAATATAAAGAACGCGATATTAAAAGTTTCATCAAGAAAAAAACGAGTTCTTAGATGAAGTATATACTGTTTGATGAAAGAGAACGTGGGATTAAAATATTATGACGAGAAAAACGCGAGTACGGTCACTGATAAAGAGAACGCGTTGAATTAATGATACAGGGAGCGAATACGGCGTTCAGTTGGGAAAAAAAACGTTGAAAAAAAATGTAAATGGTGATTATCTGGTGTACATACAAAAAAAAAACGCAAAAAGTACCCCTATTATGAATTAGCGTTCAACTTGCAAAACTGCCAGTGAACTCAACGCCATCATTATATTCAAGACAGGAAAAAAAAAAACACAAAAAAACATCCATGATTATCTACTAGTGAACGCAGACAACCCGATAATTATACTCAAGAGGGAGAAAAAACGCCAGAACGTTCACCAGGATAAATAATCATTAGAGCCACACAAAGGCGATGGTCTGCTCCCCGTAGAAAAAGTCTTGTTACTCTGCCAAAGACCCGAAGCTCCTGGGTAACTCTTAACCTGTGGGTGTGTTGTGTCACCTGTGCGTTGTGTCACCTGTCGAGGATCACCTGAAGATTTTAAAGACATCCTAGATTATTTCACCTGATGATTAAACTCCCTAATGTTAACCTAATTCAAATATAACACTAATCTAAGCTAATTAAACCTAATATATTATCTAATCGAATCAAATTTAACCCTATCTGGTCTAATCTAACGTAACTCAATCTAACCTAACCCTATCTAACCTAACCTAACCCAACACTAATCGAATCGAATCAAACATAAGCTACTGTAACCTAACCTAACCTAACTTAACCTAACCTAACCTAAACCCTCAGGTAACGTTCGTGTTTAATCAAGTGTAAATACCTTGGTTATGGGGGGATGCTAATCTTCAGGTGATGCCATTGTTTACATAAAAAAAAAATATAAGACCAGGATTCATTAGAGGTTGAAAAAGACGTGAATTTTACCGCCCTCTCCCCCACCTAAACCCTTTCAAACTCCTCTCAGTATTCACAAATATTAATAATTCGTCTAACATTAAGTAGTGTTTATCCTTGCTATGTTTTCCTATGCATGTTTTAGTAATGATGTTAATATGGAATAATTGTGTTATGTTTTTGATGGACCTTTTTTTTTTTAACTCCGTGTTTTGCTAGTAAGTTTTGGACTCATTTACGTGTCTTGGGGTTTTTGTTTTAGTTTCCCCTACGTGTTTACCTTTTTACGTTTTCTTTGATGGTATTTACTCTCTCTCTCACTCCCTATAACTCTCACCACCACCTATAACTCTCACCACCACCTATAACTCTCACCACCACCTATAACTCTCACCACCACCTATAACTCTCACCACCACCTATAACTCTCACCACCACCTATAACTCTCACCACCACCCTATAACTCTCACCACCACCTATAACTCTCATCACCACCTATAACTCTCACCACCACCTATAACTCTCACTCTCCACCACCTATAACTCTCACCACCCCCTATAACTCTCACCACCACCTATGACTCTCATCACCACCTATAACTGTAACCACCACCTATAACTCTCCTCCACTAGGCCAGCACTACACGGGACTCACCCAGAGCCGTGTTCCTGAGACCCGAGCTGACCACCCCAACCCTCGCTACACCT